GATTCATTTCTTTCTACTTTTAGTAGAGACGGGGTCTCGCTCTTGCTCAGGCTGGTTTCGAACTCCTGAGCTCAAACAATCTGCCCATCTTGGCCTCCCAGAGTGCTAGGATTACAGGCATGAGCCACCGCGCCCGGCCTCAATGTGGTGATTTTTGAAGATGAGGCATTTATAGGGGTGGGGAACCTGCAGCCTTAAGGTGACATGTGGCCTTGTAGGTCCTTAAGTGCAGCCTTTTGACTGAATCCAGAAGAATCCAAAAGAAAAAATCCTTTTATTAAAAGAGGTACAGCAGAGAAAAATGATGCTTTTCTTGCCTCCTTTGGTGCTTAAAAAAGAACAATCTTGAAATCAGAAGGCCACAGGTTCCCCACCACTGGCTGTGCTAAGTTGAAAGTTTGTACTTTTCTGTAGTTAAACACTCTGATTGCTCTCTTCCTATCTTGGTTTAAATTCTCTTACTATGCAATATTATTTTAAAATTTACATATACATAGTTCAAAGGTCAAAGCATTTATAAAGAAGTGTACATGTGTTGCTACTGTCCCATTTCTCCACAGTGTTTCCGCTTACCTCCTACAGGTAACTTTTTTAAAGCTTTTTTAAAAAAGTTACCTTTAAGCATAAATAAGCAAATATAAATACACAGTCCTGATTTGAAAAAAAAAAAACAAAAAAGGTAACAAACTACACACTCTTCTGTACCTTGCTTTTCATAAACATAATCCTGGAGGTCCCACGATATCCATTTATAGAGTTCTTCCTCATATGTGTTGATGTACTGTACGTTATCTGACCAGTCAATTATGGCTGGATGCCTGAGTTGTATCTAATGTTTTACTATTACAAACCCAGCTATGACAATCTCATATATATGTCACTCTGTATATGTGGAATTATATCTGTAGGAGTCATCTATCCCCAGAATTGGGATTACGGGATCAAATGATGACTGCATTCATAATTTTGGTAAACACTGCCAGATTCCTTTCAGGACACTGTGCTAGTTTGTATCATCTATGGCAGTGTATAAAAGTGCCTATTGCTCCACAGACTTTTGGCAACAGTTAGTGTTGTCAGAAAATGACAACCTTTCTATTTGGTAAAATGGGCATCTCTCAAAAAGATCTTATTGTGACTCATAGGAACCTGCCTTATACTCTAAGAGAAATGAATTTCTAGACAGATAAAAGAACTACAGAAGATATTAGACAGAGCTGGGGAACAAAAGCCATTTGAATTTTTGTCAATGTGATGGATGAACACTGGTAACTTACTGCAGTTCAAAAAAATTTTTTTTAGAGACAGGGTCTCACTCTGTTATACAGCTGAAGTGCAGTGGTGCCATCATAGTTCACCGTAATCTCAAATTCTTAGGCTCAAGTGATCCTCCTACCTCAGCTCCTGAGTAGCTGGGACTACGGGAACATGCCACCACACCCAGCTAATTTTTTAATTTTTGTAGCCATGGAGTCTTGGTATGTTATCCAGGCTGGTCTTGAACTCCTGGCCTCAAGCAATCCTCTTGCCTTGGCCTCCCAAAGTGCTGCGATTACAGGGATGAGCCACTGCATCTGGCTATAGTTTGAATCTACATTTCTCTTATTTTGTATGAGGTTTCACATGTTTAAGGACTGTTTCTATTTCTTCATTTTTGAACTGCCTGGTCATTTCTTCCACCCATTTTTCTAAAAGTTGTTAATCATTTTCATTCAATTTCTAAGAACTCTTTGCATTTTAGGGAAATTAGCACTTTATGACAAAACATGCAAAAATTTCCCAGTTTGCCAATTATATTTTGACTTGGCTTATGATTTTTTTTTTTTTTTGCAATATTCACGAATGCAACTCATAGAAACTGAAAACAGATCTTGATTCAGATTCTAAAAATCAGGCCACAGGGCCAGAAATTAGTATTACATGAAGCACAGCGCCCTGAAACGCCACTGCTGCTAGACTGGGGGCAGCAGGTGAGAACTGGAAGCATGGGCACAAAGGTGCTATACTTTGTAAAGTTTACTGGTTCTCCAAGAAATTGTTGGAAGAGAGATAGACAGTTTCTCCTCTGCCTCCTTTATGCCTGCTTCTTCAGAATTACACCCTGGATCAGCTGGCAGCTTCAGAAGAAAAGCAAAAAGAGTAAAGATTTATTATAAAAGCCAACAACTGGCAAAGTGTTCCAGTTTAGTAAGCTGCACATGCCTCACAAGCATGCAGAGAGATGAGTACGAATAAAAGCACAAGCCCCAGGATGGGACCTGAATGAAGGCTTGGGTTGGGGAGAACAAATGATGCCAAACCACCTCTCCCTGTGTTAGTTTAGTGAACAGGTCAAGGGGCCAAATAATAGCAGTGCTGTTGGCTGAGGGGTAGAAATCCTGTCTTCCTCAAGCTTATGGCCTCTCAATTCAACTTCATAAATGGAAACATTATAGCAAAGTATTAAATATGCTTCTTTTTAAGGCTGACTATATAAGTGGTAGAAAAGAGAGAGTGATGTTTCATTAGAGCTTAATTTTGGGAAAGAATAATAATTGAAAATAGCATTCTAAGAATCTCTAAAATCATGAAGCATCTTCTATTTTAAGAAATAAGAGTCCACTTACTCAGATAGGAAATCTGCATGATAGTAGTAATCTGAAAGTTTATCCAGGAAAGAACGGGGTTCCAAGATAAATGTAGGCAGAACCACCCTGGACAGGTCCATGCCAGGACGAACTTGTTTGAGCAGTGTCCAGATAAGGCTTTTGTTTTCTTCAGACACAGTTTCTGTTTGAGAAGCCTCACCTGCCTTTAGCAATCAACAAAAATTACTGAAATATTGTATTTATTTCACACACATAGATATGTAAACAAGAAGGCTAATGTTGAACATATGAATTCTCTTCATAACTACTCCCAGCATTCTTAAAATAGGGAAACAACCCTTTAAATAATAATTAAAGTCTATAACTATGAAACTTAGGTAAAAAGGGTAGCCGAAAGAGACAAAGTGGACAATATATAGAAAAGATCCACTATAAAAAAATCACAGCTTATTCTTTTATACTGTATTCACTTTGATGCACTGGCAATAACAAAGTTATAAACTCCTGTTTCCTTGCAATTTACTTTGCACCTGGCAATGACATTAAGCAATATCCTATTTCAAAAGCAAACCTGAAGAAAATGTAAACTTTAAATTTAATAGACTATATTGGTATTTGTGAGTATATGTGTTTAGCTGTTTATAAATCCTGATATATTTCATATACATGCAACTTTTAAAATAAAATAGGTATCATATAAATATTCTTTTTCAGGAAAATAAGCAATATGTCAAGCAAATAATATCTTCAATTTCATTTGAAAATTCCCAAGAATTAGATAACCAGAATCTGAAAATGAACTTTTACCTCTCCAAGTTCTTCATGGCTCTGTTCAGTGTAGGTAGTCTCCTTTAAAGGCTCAACAGGCTCAGGTTCAATATATGAGTCATCTTGCCTTTCTGATGTATCCGTGTCACTTTCTTCACTTTTCCCCATCACCTCATTATCAGACTCATCATGTTCTTGATCATTTTCTTTATCAGATTTATCAGAATACATATCTTGGTCCTTAAAATGTTGTCGTTCAATTTCACTATCATTTAACCTTTAGGGAAATAATTATTAGGAGGAAGAATAAAGGAGGTTAAGAATACTTAATTTATAAATAATAATGATACATTAATATTTATGGAGAATTTACTATATGCTGGCCACTGTTCTAAGTGTTTTACATAGTTTTCATTTAATCTGCAAAATAATCCTGTGAGATAGGTAATATTATTATTTCATTTTACAAATTAGTAAACAGAGGCACAGAGAAGTTAAATAAAAACCTGGAGAAATTTTAACAGATGACACTCTAACCCCTTTGCTTCTCTACCGCTTTGGGCTAAAATCTTCCAAAAGCAAAATTCTAGACTACCACTTGGGAGATTTTTTTCTTAGTTTTTCAAACATCATCACTTGAATCATCCTCACTGTTGCTTCTGGTCTAAAGAAAAAATTCAAATCAAGATCATCAGAGTCTTAGGTGAACTCAAATTATGACTTTCTACTAGTAAAGGTTTCCAAAGTCACTACTAACTACAATGAATGCTTCAGGGAATAAAACCACAAATAGGATACAGTTCCAACTCCAAATATTCTATAAAAAAATTCCACAAATGCCAGGTAGAGTAAGTCCAGTGTCATTACAAAAAAAAAAGTGTTATTCTGTAACAATAGAAAGACACACTGTATCTCATTGTTATGAGGCAAGAGCACACGTATTTGAGACCAGTCTTGAAGAACATATAGGATTATGACAGAGGGAAAGAACAAGGAGGAATAGAAATCATTCTTAATGATTACCATTCTTAATGGAAGGTATTCCATTCACAAAGACAAGGTAGATAATCAGCATGGTTCTACGTAGGAAAGATAAAGTAAATGACATTGGACTCAAGGAAATAAATTTCTACACTTGATGACAGCAGCTAAACAAATTTTAAATAGGGCCTAAGGCCATATAATGGGGAGAATATAGGCTAATTTTAATCCTAGATACACTAACAAAATTCTAGGCCTGCTGACTAACTTAGTGAAAAAACACAGTAAATCATTACCAGATTAGTGGCAGGATCTACTTACTGAAAGTTGTCACCACTGTGGAGATTGTTAGCACGTAATAAGCCATACAAAGTCACATGTGTGCTATCTGATGAAATGCTCAGGTCATGTTCCTTCCCTTCCCTGATCATTGTACGTTTAAGAAGACTAGAACATTTCAAAGCCAACTCCAAAGCATCCATCCAGCACCTTCCTAGAAGAACACAGATTCATAAGTAGTATAATTTTAAAAACTATGAAACTAGTATGCATCTTAATTTAGCCTTGTTACCTTTAAACATTCCATTTTTTTCTTTGAGAAACATGCACTGGAAAAATTAATCTGAACAAAAAATCTCACTAGGATTTCTTAATGTAATCTTTTAGTTTTACAAATGCTTTTTACATACTAAGCATCTAGAAACCCCTAACAGTATACAGAATGCATTAGAAAGTACAGCCAATCTAAAATAAATGTACTTTATTTTTCAAACCTTAAAACATTAACATGCAGCATAATTTCAAGGTATCCAGCAAGGTACACAAAATATACTGGAGGGGTTACAGTTCTATTATAGGTAACTATCTGAAATAACGTTCTGTTGTTGCTAGGTCTATCCTCAAGCTTAGCCTCCATTCTACTTATACGTATGAAAATTTTTCAGTCAGGGAAATCTTGTATAATGCTGTCACTAACTGCCACGTTAGTTAAGAGAAACATTAATAGGTTTATTTTTTAAATTAAAATTTA